TGCTATTTCATGTAAGGTTATGAATTGCTGGTGTTTGAATTTTTCTTCCCGTTTTTCATTAAATTTCTCTCAGTCTTGCTTCCCAAAAGGTGTTCTCCGCTCAGGTCAAATGTGGTTCACTTTCGACCTCGCCTCAACTAGTCTCACCAGCAGCCACAGCGGGACTCGAACTTGAGTCGTTATATGATAGCGTATTGTCAGAGTGTGACAAGTGGCTTCGGATCAGAGGGTGAAAGTGAATTGCACGGAAGCCAAGGCATTGCGGCGTAAGGGTCAACATGTCGAGGCTCAAGCTGAGTTCGAGTCCCGTTTGGGTTGCTGATGAGACCAGCTGAGACGAGGTCTGGATGCAAATATCCTTTTGGGAAGCAAAGTTAAGTGAAATTCAGGTGAAACCTGCCATATACTCATCTGATTTTGGGAAATTCAACTGCACTCAACTTTCATCAGCTTACACGAAATAGGATGTACACAATTGTTAAACAAGATCTTCTGGTAGGCTCGAAAACCTGCTTAAAAACGAAAATGTATAAATACGGCTCTGCTTGCACACAAAGACGCGAACAGGACGCGTATCTGTTGGTGCCTTTGAGGAACGCCAGCGCCATTTTGACTCTTTGGAATACGACAAACTCGACCGTTTATGGGGCACGAGGGAGGGAGGGGCGGGGGAAGATCGAGACCGATAAACGACGGAATGTAGGTTACCTCAAAGCCGTAGATGTCCAGAAGCCCGATGGTACGGATCTGCTGAGACCCGAGAGACCGGCGATTGGGGGGCTCCAGAATGACGTTCACTTCGTCGATGAGATGGTCAAAGTATTCGGAGTAAAGGTACTTGGCCAACGAGTCACGGTTCATGGAGGCGACGGAGGCTTGTACGCTGCTCCAAGTCAACTCCTTCCCAACTGTCTGTATGGTAGAAAAGGCGCAGGAGAGGGGCAAAACAGGCAATAAAGTATTAGAATGTCGCATTAATTCTCGACAAAACTGTGGGCAGAAGTGTCAATAGGTAGTGAAAATGATGACGATGATGAGAATAGCAGTACTGTAATAGAAGGATGCTGGTGGTAATGAGTTTGACGAGAGTGATGGTCTAGTTTATATTGCTTATATCGATGACCATGATAGTCATGAAAGAGCTGAGGATAACAGGAAAAGTTTTAATGAAGAAAGTTGTGACGATAATGATGAATCCCGCTGGGGTGTTGATAGGACCTAGGTAAGGCCGAAACTGCCGTCCACCCTGGATGAGAATGGCTTTTGGGAAGCAAAACTATCTGAAATTCAATGTAGACCTCATGTCTGCTCATATTATTGTGGAAAAATTCAATTACCAATCCCATTATCACCTTAAATTATGGTGAATAGACTTCATTATCAATATAATGATGGAGATGATGATGGGAGGGATTGTCTAGCTGATAATGGTTATGCTAATGGCGATGATAGTGATGACAGGGCTGAGGACAACATTGAAAGTGTTGATGGTGATATTTATGATTGTGATGATGATAAAGTTGAAGTTGGTGAGAAATGGAAAGACACAGATTCTAAGGCTAGTAAGGCTAATGAGGATGATGACAGTGATAATGATGCTGATGATGACGGGTATTATTATAATTATACATTTATCGTCGTATTTAATAGATACTCGTATATATATGCCGTTAGCAACTCTATAAGTGTCTATTCAGACGACACTTGTATAATTATAACTATATATATATATATATATATATCAACGGAGCCAATCGCTATCTCATAAGCCAGAATAGACTTGCAGACTGGCCACTTCCGATGAGACGGCAGCAATGCTGTACAAGGCGAGGCTATTTTAAGGACACTCATCTGACCCTGTCGAAGAGGTTACATTTAACGTAAGCAGCTGTTTAAAAGCAAGGTCAAGACGAGTACGTAAAAGCGTGGAAGGTCTCCTCTAGACAGTCCAGTAGAGGCTGTTTCAGCAGGTCATCGAAGGCGAAACTTGAGTAGCCAGACCAAAGGATGCTCTGGCTGGAGGTAAACTTTCATCTTTCACCGGCAGGCTTATTGAACCCACCGGCCAGAAAGTGTAGAAGCTCCTTAGACAGGTTCACCAAGTTGTTGTCCTCGCCCGGACTCCATCGAGGGCACTTTGCGAAAGTGATTTCCCCACCATCATCATCAGGTTCTGCCAACAAACATTAAGCAAAGCGCTGTCTACACACATGCATACATACATGCACACATTTATAGATAGGTACATATACATGCATACCTAGGTTCAGTCATGCATGCATAAATTAAGGTTTATTTGTAAATATTTTCCGAGTTTCACACATTCTTACACATGAGTACTAAATTTGTATAAATTGACGAGGGAATATACGAAATAATAGTAAAGAAAGCAAAAGACAAGAGATAGGACGGACATACAAACAACTTTTAAAAATCCGCAAAAATCAGCCCAACATTCAAATTCAGATATCGGAAAAAAGAGAGCAGTCTGTAATCTCAGTATGCTTTTCCCGGACATTCATACATTAGGTTGACCCCTGCCAGGTGGCTGGATAATGACCAAGCAAGGCTATCGGATTCTGGCTTTCACCAGGTCACGATCTGTAACCCGCTGGCAGGACATCCAAGACCTTGCAGCCAACGGAGGCAGGAAAACTGTCTCAAGAGCAGTGGACAGGCCGACAGATGACACGTTTCACTTACAATGCATTTGTTTAAGAGCAACTTTTCCAGGCTTTCTGGGCGGAGGCCAAGCTCTGTGCAGGCGAAGCGCAGCGGTTCAGGGTTGGAAACGAAGGCAGCATCCTGAAAGAAAGAAAAAGATGCATCATTTGGCCAGGGGTAGAGAAGAAGAAGAAGAAAAAGAAGATGAAGGTAGTGTAGGAGGGAGAGGAAGAGAAATAGAGAAAGAAGAAAAGAGGGAGTGGCAAAATAAGGAATAGGACATGTCGCATATTGGGCGATTAAGTGCGGAAGAGGGTTCACTATGCCATTGAACCTGTCAGTTCACGGTTCGAATCCCACTCGAGCTGCAAAATCGAGAATAATGGGCTCGAATTTGTAGTCAACTCTCGTTGAGATGTTCATTTTTGGCATTTATGGCGCATTTTCGATGCACTTTGGCTGGAATTGTCATCATCATCCGTCCTTTACTTCAGTTTTCTCTCCCTAAAATTACGCCAACTTGGTGCTAACCAGCATGTTCCAGAAGTCCAACATTTGACTCTCTCCTGCCGTTGTTCTTGAGAAAAATGAATCTTTCCCTCTTACGCAATTTGAGGACTCCTGTCGACCTGCGTGTTTTCTGCGATTATTATACCATCATTTTGCAGTATCAGATCGTCAGTGAGCAATGCCATCGTAATTACAAGAGTATAACTCGCCGAATCGACGAGAATTTTGGGAATTGACTCAGTCCTATGCATGAGGACTGCTGTCTACGCTGTCTGTGGGATCGGATATTCGAGATTCCCCTCGCAA